AATTAGTCATCTAATCATCTTAAACGAAATAGAGTGAATTCACTTCATATATAAATAATCTACTAGTAATCCCCAAAACCTATTTATGAAGGAAAAATAAATAGCATAATCGAGTGTCTAAATTCCAGGTCCTTCAATGCCTCCCCTCCTCAGTCGGCAGCAGCTCCGCCCGGCCTCTCGGCGCCGATCTGCCCGTCGACCAGCGTCTGTACCATACCACCGTGGATTCGGACGCCGTGGCCGACGACTGTTGCCTCGGCTCGTGGTCAGGCGGCAAACGCGATGAGTCGTTCGGGCCCTCCGGTCTGGGACTCTGCGCCGGCCAGACGGGCGGTGAGCGCACCTGTCTCTGGGCGACGGTCGCATGCGCTCTGGGCGCTCTGCTTTTAGTCGCCGGCCTCCTCTTCACTCTGCTGCATCACGTCGTCGGCGTCCTCCTTTTGCCCAGCAGCGGGGATCGCGGCGCCAGCCTTGGTCCGGGTCTCATCACCGCTGGGGGGCTCCTCGTGGCGCTCGGCGTCGGCTTGACCTGCATGGCCCGGCGCCAGGCAGCTGCGGCTCTCCAGGCCCTTAGGAGAGACGAGGCTGTACGCCAAAGACAAGCGATACGCGCATACCAGGTTAGCGGAATTCCTATTCACACCGAACAGGCTTTTGCCAATATTGGCTAATCTTGAAGGTTGTTGAGGAGAGACTTTCATTTAGTATGAAAGTGCATGAAGAAGAGACTCGAAGGTCTATCTCACCGGAAGAGGACGGCTGATTTCCGTGGTTTTAATACGACCCACAAATTGATGCAGTCCATGAGACATCCTCCCTCACTTCGCGTGAAAGCGGGCTGAGCTTTCGGTCAACATATGATGGAAATCATCAGAGCTGGAGCTCATTCTTACAATGGTCTCATGCTAAAACTAGGCCAAAAAGACTATCAGGCTCTATCTGACCCTTTACAAACGAAAATGTATGGGCATAAATAGACATAGAGTGGTTTAGGTAATTATCTTTCATATAAGTCAAGCTACTTCTGCACGTGCGTGTGTGTGTGTGTGTATGCACCTCTAAAAGCAGTATCGTTCTTAAATCAGAGTGATAAAAAATGCATAATTTAAGACTTTGGCCATCAAGGCTTAATGAACCAAGAAAAAGCCCTGACCGAGACTGCGTAAATCTGTAAGCAAGTATGGTCAAGAGATAATTAGATGCACACCTGTAAGTGTGTAAGTCAGGTTACGAAACCACCGGTCCTAACCTCTCGGTCTAGGGTCATTACGATTTAAGGCAGGACTGGGGCTGTGCAATCTGATACGACTGGCTTGGTTGCTGAGCTTAATCTAACACACAAAAGGCCACAGCATCTTGGCCTTCATATCTTCGATTTGTCTAACATGTTGGATGGGTGTGAATCAAGCTGGAATCATCACTGAGCAGACAACTTGAGTCTCCTTCTTTTGGATGGCGGCTTAACAACTTATCTTTTTTTCAATCTTTCATTCAGGCATAAGTAATTCTTACTCAACTTTTTTACCACCATTCCGTATTCTCTAATCTATTAATTTCATTGGCCTCTCTTATCTTCCTTTTTAACAGTAGACGTACAGTAATCAGCAAAGCTATTCGTTTGAGGTCATTCTATCACTTGTTCAGTCTCTGTCAAGTGTTTGGCCGCTTCTGCTTAAGGACCTATGCAATCTCGGTCAAGGCTTTTTTTTGGATCATTGAGCCTTGATTACCAGAGCCTGACATTAGCCTTTTTTGATCACTCTAATTTAGAACCGGCATTGCGTATAAACGTTAGCACACACACATACACACACACGAGCAAAGTAGCATGACCAATATAAAATATAATTATATGAGAGGTATTACCCATATTTCTATTAAGATGATGAAGGACTGGTAGCTGAATTTTCCCACAATGGTATGGGTAGAGCTGACATTTCCATTTAATTTCACATAGTCTTGCTCTCCCAAAAGGTGTTCTCATTCAGGGTGGACTAAAGTTTCGACCTTGCCTAGATCCGATCAGCATCCCCAGCGGGACTCGATCCATGAGAGCGCAGCGTGTAATCTCGACACGTTAACCACTACTCCACATTGCCACGAATGCCCTTGGGTTACAGGGCAGATATGCATTTCAAGGATAGCCAGTCATTTTTCCATATCATATTATTTGATGCGATTGTCGATGAAGCAAGGGCACTCATGACAAGGTGGCGTTGTGGTTAACGTGTCAAAATTACATGTCGCACTGTCGAACTGGTTGAGAATGAACTTCAATGGAAACGTCGGCTCTATTCTTATCACTATGAGAAAATTCAACCACCAGTCCTTCATCACTTTAAACGAAATAGGGTGAATACCTCTCATATAACTGATATATTGGTAGTTTCAAAACCCTACTTATGAACGAAAAATCAGGATAATTTGCTAAACCATTCTATATCTATCTATGACTATAAAGTTTCGTTTTCTACTTATGAGTATATATAGGATGTAAGATAGAGCTAGATAGTCTTCTTGACCTAGTGTTAACGGGAGACTTTTACAATAATGAGTTCCAGTTCTGATGGTGTCCAGCATAAGCTGTACGAAAGATCAGCCTTTTTTTACCCGAAACTAGAGTGGATGTTTCGTAGACTACGTCAACCTGTAGGCTGTATTAAAATTAAACTGCTGCAGTACATCTGGAATAAGCCATCCTTTTCTGATGAGATCGACCATTGGACCACTTTATGCACTTTCATGAGAGATGAAAGTCTCCCAAGCAATTTTATCTTAAGAGATAAATCAAAATACAGTTATCTTTCATAATCTTGATGAGTAATATGATATGAACAGGCCTCATGTTTCCATTCCCTGTCCCTTAGCCCTACTTCCCGAAAGTTATCCTCATTCCGAATGGAATGGATCGACATTTTGACCTCACGTAGGCCTCATCGGCACTCCTAGCGCGACTCGAACCCGATTTGGACAGCTAACAATCTCGACACGCTACTACCACGCCACTGCCACGAGTTCCCCTGAGTCACAGGACAGACGTGACTTTCAAAATGAACTGGGCCTCTTCCATATTACGATTTTATGGCGGGAGTGGCAATTATGGAATCATGTGTTTTTCATTTATAAGTTGGATTTAGAGACTTCATATATAGCTTATATTTGAGATGTATTCGTCTTATTTCGTTTTGGATGATAACGAGACTGGCAGCTGAAGTTTTTCACACAGTGCTATGAGTAGACATGACGTTTTCATTGAATTTACATAGCGATACACCTTATATATATATACTCTATTGATAGTCCCGAAAGCCTACCTATAAACGAAAAATATGTAATGTTGTCGTCGAATGATATGGCAAGCACAAATT